CAACTTTTCACTTTACCGTAGAGTGCCCCACAGCTGCCCACGTTTCCCCCCTCCGACCAATCCTGTGGTCCACTTGTACAGCACACCATTAGAAGGGCACCCTTCTCGCCCCAAAGGTCTCTCTCATGCTCGTTCTTTGGACAATGGCTGTCGCAGAGGTTGCCCCGTAATGGAGATGCCCCTAATTTTTTAATTTGCATAATAAAAAGTTTCATCATTATGACTTGTAAGGGGCGTGCGCTGGCCGAGACGCGGTGCGCCTGGTCAAAAAAGGATAGTAAAACAAAACAGACTCACTTTCACGCTCCACTCAACCAACTTTCACAAGTTGAGTGAGAGAGGCTTCTTAGGTTTCGCTGCTTGAACCCCAAACACATTAAATTAAATCAGTTAAACGCGCGTGGCAATATTTTTTTGACAACAGGCGTCTTACTTCAGTGTCATTGGACGTTGAGCTAGTTGCATCATCAAACAATAATCTTCGTACCACTAAAGAAGGTAATGGATGTTAAACGAATTTGAAGATATATTTAAATTGCGCGAATAACACAACACGCCAAACATAAAGCACGCACACACTGCGCTTCGTGTGTGCGTGTTCAATGTGTCTAAAATGTCGTCTTCCTTGCACAGTTTATATATGGCTAAAGATTGCCTGGGGTGCCCATTCAGCACGTGTTCTAAGTATAGAGTTCCGCAAGCAACATATACCGTTATGAGCCAAAATGAAATGGCGAGTAAGACCAGTGCCCTATAATGCGTATTAGAAACAAACGTTCTCTCTGTGTGATAGGAATATGCCTGTGGAAGCAGTTAACACTGAGAGAAAATGGTGCGACAGCCGTCACTGAAAGGCCGCCGAACTAAGGTAGCCTACTCTCGGCGAGTATTGACTGTCAACTCGCAACAAACGCGCGTCATGCCTGCCCACCGCGATTTTTTTTGCGGGGTGAGCGTAAGGGGAGAAGCACACGCGGAGATATGTTCGGTATGGATGGGTGCTATGAGCGAGGCCGACACTATGATGAATGAATGTATAGATATGGCGGTACCCTTTAGATCGGGTGGCGGCTGACGCCACCTAGCAGTAATATTTAGTGAACTAAATTTATTTTTTCCACTCTAAATACTCAAGTTAAGGACTGGCACTTCAGAGTGAAGGATTTAATTTTCACTTGTGCTAGATTGTAGCCACCAATCAGATAGCTTCCTCCTAGTTATTTCTATCCACCTAAATCGTACTTTGCCCTCCCTGTTTCTTAACCCCAGTGATTTGAAAAACTCTGCTCCATCATCCTGAACTATAGAGAGAAGAACATTATCAAGTGTTTGGCAGTTTTCACCTCCTCTTTACACGCACTGCATACCGTGTCTAGCCCTTCGTATTTGGCTCCATAAGTTTTGGTTCGCAATACTCCCGTCCTGAACTCAAACAGTAGAGTGAACCAGTAGAGTGAACCAGTAGAGAACTACCCCGATAATTATCATAGATCCTTTTATTGGCAATTTCCGGCATAAAAGTTGGATTGATCTGTATTGCCGACTTCCAAATCATGTCCATTATCCACACGTCGGTCTTCGTTTTTTTCACCTTCTCCTCAGCCGATAGTTCCTTTTTGTTCGGCCCTCTGATGTTTTCTAAGTATTTACCCGCGAGTTTTCTGGCTCACTTTCTTCACTTAGTATCGACATTCTTCATGTACAAGTACCTGACAACTTTCCTAGCCCGACGCTCCTCTCTCGTTTTCCCCAATCACTCCTCAAATTCTATTTTTCTGCTAGCTTTCCTGCACTCGAACGATGGTCGTTTCACATAATTCTGTACCTCGTGTGTGGGGTATACCCGTGTGCTCGCGAAGCATGTCTACCTATGCCACGTTGTTTAATTTTCAATCTTGCTTCAACCTCTGATTTCCCGCACAAGACCGCATTGCCGAAAGTCAGACCCAAGACCATGACACCTTTCAAAATTCCTCTCATTACATCACACCTATTGTAATTTTACAGTGCCTTATTTTTCATCACCGCTGTATTTCTGTTGCCTTTAGTCGTTACGTATCTTTCATGCTCCTTAGGTACTTAGTCCGCTTATTTTTTGATACGCCAAAATATTTGTATTTATGCACTATTTCTAGCATGACTTTCTTTATCTCATGCTCACTGCCTTGATTATTATTAGAAATTATTATTGCCGGCTTTTTGGTGCTGCAGATCTTTTTTGTTGTCGGCTATTATAACTATATTATCTGCGTACATCAATGCTGGTAATGACCGTTCAACGCGTTTTCTTTGCTTGGCAAAAGAGAATCAGAACTCAAGTCGACTTCCCTCTAATTTGGCTTCTAGTTCCTGTAGATACCGCATAAATAACAGAGGTGCTCGAAGACATCCCTATCGAAGCCCGCGTTGTATGTGTATAGGTTCGGATGTCTATTCTCCTATTTTATAACCACCTGGTCACTTTTATAGATATTCTTCAGAAGGTTATTTGTTCACTCTTCCACATGTAGCGTGCGCAGTATTTCCCACAAGTCTTCTTAATCACACCGTCGTAAGCTCCCTTGATATCTAGAAATGCCAGCCACAGGGGCCTGTGTTCTCTTTCCTGTATTTTAACACACTGCCTCGATGAATAGCGCACCGCCGCCAAGATGGTGTGCTATCTAGTGAGCTCTCTTGAAACGGAGAGCACAGCTGGTCCTCTAGCGGGAGCAATGAGCACTAGCGTACACAGCAGCGCAATGACGAAAAATAACCCCTCAGCAGAAAGAGCCAGCTCGTAAAGGCAAACTGTTGCATCCCTTAAGGGGACAACCGGCAACAATAGGTAACAATGGGAAAAGTGATTTCAAATACAGTAGTTTTATTGTGTTTAAAATGTAGAGGACTAGGGTCACCCGGCACTGAGCACGCTTGCGAACGCTGTTGCACTGTCAGTGCACAGGAACCACTTTCGAATGAAGTCAAGACATACGTGTGCTTAGAATCTAGTGACAGAACATTATTCCTTTTGAGGTCAACTCTGATAGATTACTCGAGTTTCAAAATCTCACAAGAACGCTGGAGGCGCTCTTGTTTTGGTTTCGATGAAAAACCCAAGAGATGCAGATTGCATGGATGGTACAGAAGATGCTATAAAAGTAAGTCTGTTTTCAGCGTCACAAGGGATTACACTACACGCATTTAGTTAGACCAGTGAAACTGTTAATCAAGTTAAAGCGATAGCTAGAGAGATGCCAAGAGCTCCACGGACACCACAAGCTCTCATGCCTCAGCACTGCGTTGTGATGGGTATAAGGTCAGCGCCAAACCCTTTCAACAGCATCATTTGTTTTCATTGACATGTAACGCGTTAATATGTTACCCCTTGACAGCAAGTCAAAGTACTCGCTTATCATACACTAATCAGACCAAAACTTGAGTACGCATGCGCTGTTTAGGATCCTCATCAGAGTAACAATACTAAAAAACTTAAAACAGTGCAAAGCCACACGGCAAGATTCATGTTTTCAGATTATTCATATCAGTCAAGCGTAACCGAACCTAAATCTCGTGCTAACCTCGCCACCCTTTCATCACGCCGCTATGTTGCTTGTCTGTGCCTGTTTTTCAAATTATATCATGGATCACCTCGTACTCCCATCATCAAGCCATCCCATCGTCAATCCGACCGCATAAATCACGGAAAAGTGTTTACCTGCAAAGTGCTCATACCACTGCGCACCTTTCATCCTTTTTCGTCAAGACCGCACAAGATTGGAATGGCCTTCCCCCTCACGCTGTACAGCACTCCAGCATCATCAACTTCAAAGCAGAGTTCGAACATCTACCCCTTTAATCCATTGTAATAGCTCACCCCCTCAAGTAAAAACCCTTCATTCGGGCTTTTGAGGTATTGTCAATGAATTGTAAATAAACAAGTAAATAAATAGATAAATAAACACCTATTAGATTAACAGAATAATTTATTTTAAAAAACGTTACAATGAAGGCACCACGTAGTCAGTGGAGGTCCGAAGAATAGTAAAGCTGCTCACGTGCGTTATTATACAACCATGGATAAAATATATTGATATAACTGAAGGTTGCACTGTTTTCACTGGCTAAAAGCTTTGCGAATATGTTGTACTAAGCTTTTGCATTTTGTATCAATACGTGAATTTAAGGTTCGCAGCTGCCGTTTAATCGTAATTTTGTTGAATTTCCTATATGGACAGCAAACCATCATTACGATCAACAATTACTTCTTTAAAAAGAACGACCGTTATATTTGGCATTTGATATTGAGTGCTGGGTCTATTTCATTTGAACGGTCAAGCACTGCGTTTGCGTGTTCATTGTGGTTGAGTAGATTTACTGCAACGCCTTACTCCAGATGCGGCCTGAGTGACGCATTAGCGTTTTAAAGATGCACCGAAAAAAGCCGGTAGCTCACCTTGTCCGGCAGTTCAGAATTATTCGGGCTTTTGAGGTATTGTAAATAAATTGTAAATCAATAAGTAAGTAAATAATTAAATACTACATTGAGAGACTAATTTATTAAAAAACGTTACAGTGAAGGCACTACATGGTCACTGGAGGTCCTCAGAATAGTAAAGCTGCTCACGTGAGTTACTATACAACCATGGATAAAATATATTGATATAACTGAAGGTTGCACTGTTTTCACTGGCTAAAAGCTTTGCGAAGATTTTGTGCTAAGCTTTTGCATTTCGTATCAATACGTAAATTTATTGTTGGCAACTGCCGTTTAATTGTAATTTTGTTGAACTTCCTATGCGGACAGCAAACCATCATTACGATCAACAATGACTTCTTTAAAAAAACGACCATAATATTTGGTATTTGATATTGAGTGCTGGGGCTATTTCATTTGAACGTCCAAGCACTGTTTGCGTGTTCATTGGGGTTGAGTGGATTTAGTGCGACACGTTACCCCAGATACGGCCTGAGTGGCGCATTAGCGTTTTAATGGTGCATCGAGAAAGCCGGTAGCTTACCTTGTCCGTCAGTTCAGAATTTCCTAGCGTTCGCTTGATAAAGCGGTGACTCCAGCCATACAGTGGAGCCGAGGCTTTGACAAACAGAGGAGCGCTGCGGAACAACGGCGCCCGAATGGTAAGGGGGGAGCTTGGCAGACAGGAGAAGGCGAAGGGCGGTGGCGTAATAACCGCGCGCTGAGCAGAGTACGCAAAGTGACGCCATTTTGTTCCCTCAATTCTGTTCTGTTTCGTCTGGATGAGCGCCGCGTGTTTGCTTCAACACAATACTAGATTGTTTCTTCTACCAACTACAAAATGCGTCCACTCAATCGTAAGCACCTGGCTGATGAATCCACACCTTCTTGTCATTGTCTGTTTGTCAAATCAACTCTGAGAACTTTCAAGCAACAACCTTGCGTTTGAACAAACGACCAAAGAAAATTTTCATCGGCATGCCTTTAGCCCCGGGTGTAAACAATGACCAGTATAAAGCGAATACAGAATGATTAGGATTGGTCAATTTTTTTTTGCCTACTCGCCATAGTTTGATATTAGACCTGTGGTATCGATTCGTTCTCTCTTCGGGCCGGAACCAACAGGTGGACGGAAACAACAAACTCAGCGTTCTAGCACTTCCCAATCAACGCTTTTCGTTATATTACCAGGCAATAAGAAAATCGCGCCCTCGTGGACAGTCGGCTTTTTTTTATAACAATGTGATCGAAATATTGTAAGCATATTTGTTTGCGAACTGCGTGGGAATCACGGCGGCAGGCACAAATATGGCGACGCCTCCTTCACTCTGCTGTCCCGCGCGCCAATACCCCGGTGCTCTGGCGAAAACGAAGACGACCGATCGATCGCGCTGGCAAGGCTAGTGGGCGGGGTGTGCGGGGAATGCACCGCCGCGAGACAAGACGCTGTGTTGTACTGTTGCTATCAGCGCCACCCAGTGAGCACGCAAAGGTTAAAAGTCAGTGAAAGAGTGCCCACCGTGGAGACGAACGTATCGAGCTGCAGGGTGGAGAGGAGATTAGGCAATTTAAGTCGGCTGGAACTCGCATGACAGCGTTGTCCCTCGGTGACTTCCTGTGTAGCGCTAATAATTGTGAGTTGGCGGGTAATTGTGTCCTGCATGAACAATCACAAATCACACGCAATGACGACGACGCTGTTATGATCCCTGACCAGCTCAAGATCGTTGTTCTACATAGCACACAAGGATTTCATCTCAGGATATTTTTAGAATTTCACTCCGTTGGAAAACCACTTGATAACAGCAGAACTTTAGGACTGATGTTCGTTTTAGATGCATTTTCTTTTCTATAACGCAATGCTTCCGACAACATAGTCGTCACATTTTTTTTCGAATATTGTTAAACTAAAGTCTGTAAGGCGTAGGAGAAAGAGAAGTGGAGTACAAAAGCAGTATAGTAACGTGAACAGTGATGATATTAAGCCCACTTTTCAGTGATGGTTCACCACCCTCATAGAATCGAGCATGTTTCACCATTCGTACCCGGCGAGTGCGGTATTACTTAACAGATCCCACTTACGTGTCGGTAGTCGTTCGCGAGCCAATGTTACGAGAGCCCAGAAATCCGCTCAAGAAAAGAAACGCTTCGCATCTGCCATCGCATTGAAACCCGCGGCTCACTGGTTTTTACACTTTAGGGATACTGTCGAAACACATTTCCCAGCCTACTAGAGAAATGATAGAGACATTCCAAATTGACCAAATGAATTACGCATGTATAAGTGAGGCATCTTTTCTCTTACGCACAAGAAGTTTGGATGTCTTCTCAGCACGTGTGCCATTAGGTCATACGCTACGTTAGTTTCTCATTGGTTTTTAAGACTCAAGCGCAATATAAATACCCGTTTTTTTAGTTTTTAAGATTTTGTTTTTTCTTTGAAGTAAATCTGTTCAGTGGCGAGTCAACGCTCGTTCACCTCGCGTCTCTTCTATTCCATCTTCGTGGTTCTCGCGCTATACCTAAAGCTTGTTAACTACTTCAGCAACTGTAAATATTTATTCACGATCATTGACATTAGTCGTCGGGATGAAAATTCGGCCCTGAATGTCAGCGTACCTGCATCCATATAAAACGGTTCTATAGCTGTCGAGCATGGAAATACACAGTGCAAGCTCACATTTGTCAATGCACAATAAACATTCGAGTAATTTCAATGAGACACGTCTCATTTTTGTTTCGAGAGAGGATAGGTTAATGAAAGAGGAAGAGATAAAAAGGACGCTATTTCCTGCCTTCCGTCGCGGGGGCACGGCTCAGTGCCTTTAGGTACAGGGGAGGAAGTAAATATAATAGAAAGAAGAGAGGAGAGAAGTAAAAAGTGAAAGGCATGGCAGCAGAACGTCTTGTCAGTACAGTCTAGAGAACGAAATGAAAGCGTTTGGTTCCTAAGATGTAGGCATCAATCATGTAGTATTTATTGACGAGCAGGTTCCTCAAAAAAAAAAAAAAAAAATAGGCGCAGTCAACTTGTAGCTCCCGCAACGCATCAAGTGTAACTAGCTGATGACTATGCGCATTGCTGTTTAAATGCAACCACTGCTTCGAATAAGTACGCGCAGCTGGCTGCCGTCGTCTACCTGAATATTCGTTGCTCAAAAACAGTTCTGCAAAATAGTTATACTTCAAAATTTGTTGAACTGACAAACATGTAATCGAACCAAAATAAATTAGTTCAGAATTAGGCAACCTACTCATAAAACAAGTACGATGTTGGCCATGGTTATCTTTTGATGATTACCCCGGCTGGCCACGCATTGAGTAAGGTGACCTGTTATGCAATGTTTTTTCAGAATGTAAGAAATAAAGGTATTCCTATGTGTGTATAAATTAAAACCTCGGCAAATATTATAATGAAGCCATTTTTATAAAACGTGCAACAATTGCTGAGTAATATTTTACTAACCCAATTCGCTCGATTTGACCAATTTCTATTACGTTTTGCTAAGCCAAATATATATATCTTATCACACGTTGCCCTGTCTTTATATTTTATAGTTGCCGCTTCGTTACAACGTTACTTTGCCTTGCGTAAACTATGTTCGAATGACTGTAAACAATATTGTTAGAACTTTTCGATGACATTACCTGCTCAACGCGAACATCAGGTTGAGTTTTGAGCTTTTTTTTTCATTTATTTACCCTGCAATCTCAACGTGGGCATTACCAAAGGGGGAGCATAACAACTCATATGAAACACTAAAAGGTGTATTGGAAAAAAAAGCATCTAAAAATATTAAAGAGAAAATAGAAATGTCTAGCAGTACACTGCTTCTTAGCTCACCTCATCGTACTGCGCTCCTTCGGTATAAAAAAAAACTACATAAATTGTCTTGCATATACAGGCTTCACTACTACAGTATGGCTAGGGTAGAATTTTTCTCGTGTTTTAGAAATTAGCACTTATAGGCTAAAATGTTACTTTCTCAAACACTTGCTTTCAATAATGAGTGGCCAGTTATTTCAGCTATGATACCTGGGAGACAATTCCACTCGGAGAAGGCTAAATATTGGCATGAAAACCGTAATTGGTTAGTACGTGTTAAAGGTTGTTCCACCCTATGTTTGTAGTGATACGCGGAAAAATACTTTTGGCAGGCAAGATGTGTGTTTACACATCTTACCCGTCATTACGTGGTCGCTTGTGATAAAGCTGAATTGTTCGACGATACATGTGTAAAAGCCGACATGCTCGGTTCCTTGTAAGTTTATCGATGACCGATGGCGTACGCGCTGTGTCAAGCACGGGTGTACTTGACGCGTCCCCGCTTACGTGGGTCGCCGAGACGTTGGGGTTGCGTTGGAACCAGACTCCTGTGGTAGCGTCGAACAACTTCGGATGGAGCAAACGGCGCTGACAAGTTGAGAGTAAGGAAAAACAAACTGGTTTACTGGCGCTACAAATATTTACAGCATAAGAGGTTAGAGTTCCGCTCATTGTGGATGAACCATAAAACCATGGTTCAGAGTAACGTCGAGCACATTTCAGCGTCGACATAAGACTTGTCGGGCTCCTTCTCATTCATTAAAACATCATTCACACGCATTACAACACCCTCCGAGGCATCAGCCAATAAGGCACGGCTGCCTATTAGTAAATGCACTTCCTGACGCCGTGCTCCTCCGGTCAGTTTCACTGACGAGAGGGAAGTGCGGTCCTCCATGGAACAAGTTGTCGGATGAGTACTTCCTGCCTTCTTTACCTGGAGGGGCAGCAAACGATTAGTGACTCTAATCACTTAGGATCATGACCTGTGGGGTCAGTTGGCCATGCCGCCTCTCCAAACAAGCCATCATTGAGGAAATGCCTGTAAAGGTATTGGCGCACGGACCATCAAAGTTGCCACATATTCTTATCCCTTTGTTGATTCCCACCGCTGGACGCCCCTTACTAGAGAAAGGTACAGGGGTTTCAGGATGTGGGAACGCGGCCCCACTATGCTTCTCATGGTCAGAATATCGGCGTCGAACGAGAACCACAACAGCGCTGAAGTCAGTGTACAGCGTGCATTGCATGCTGTAATCAGAGTTTGTGTTTCACGGCCACAAGTTTGGCCGAAAATGAGTTTCACCTTCCAGACAGTGACTTCCATCATGTGTAATGTCCCCATAAAAATATCTATTTTATCTCTTTAGAGCTGTATCCAGCGTACGTTTACGTTTTGCATTCAGTCCTAATTCCCTGTGTCGCATTGAATTGAATCATTCATATTTTGTGTCTTAGTTATTTTATACAGGTTTTCGCAGTCTTTTTGGTATAGCCACGCTGCCTCACTTACCTGTGCCGTCGGTAGTTCCTGTATAACAGATAAAAATAAAAATTAAAATTAGTTATTGTACGTACCAACTTTTATGCGTTCATCGGCCACATCAATTGTGCAAAACTATGCGTGCGTTAGTACACGCAAGAATCACAAATACTTTTTAACGCGCAGATGCAGGCCGCTCGTAATTCAGTGAACCTAAATAACAAACGTTATCGCAATCAAGATTATGAAATGCTATGAAAAAGTGGCCAGTGCTAACTGAAGTCAAAGGGCGAATGGTGATCTGAATGAATCGCTGGGCGTTAATGTGATTCTGGGAGCACTAGGAACAGGAACA